AGTGGGACGTCTGAACAAAATTTACGTAGCAGCCCGAATGCAGCTTCATAGACCAACACACAAACATTTTAAATATAGTATTTATCACGCCCAGTTAAAAAAGGCGAGCAAAATTTTACAAGGCCTCACGTCATGAACATTTTTTTGTTTCATTCAGAAATATTTTGCCGGAATGCTTCATGTGGTACTGCAAAAAAGCATTACTTTTATCAGCAAAATGTAAGACTCCAGATAACGTTTCCCCCACTGGTGTTCGTTAACGTGCACCTATACTAAGTTAAGCGCTCACTGATTTGGGCTAGTTAAACACGTATTCGTCATTTCCGCATCCATCTCTTCTCCTTTGTGCTGCACCACGTCAGGCTCCACCGAGCAGGCAGGTGTGCTAGTGTGTCACTTTGCGCTCTGTGTCCCGTGGCAACATAAAACTTTGGAAGGGCCCGTGCCCGGTAACGCATTCCTGGCTACACCTTGGGCAACGTGTGAACGTCCAATCCCAGCGCATGTTCACGAGAGGCTCAACTACTAACATCGCAGAGGCGGTGTCGTACCAGTAAAGTTCAAACTGAGGGGCGTCTGTATAGTAGAGCAATGCACTGCACATTGCCAGATGTGCCTGAAAACCAAAATACACATTGCGCACAATGCAGATATGTTGTACAGAAGCTTTCACAGCTAAATTGGCGTTACTTATACGCAATCAACGGGGACAATACGGTCCTATTATCTATAATGTCTACGTTGAAGTTGCTGTCTAGAATAAAAGACGGATGGACAGACGGACAGACGCACGGATGCGTGGACAGACAGAGTGTGGTCTACGTATAGACCATATGCGCATTATGAATGCTGTATGCACGGTATGTGTAGCACCTGTGTTTCGGTGCGACGAGGACCTACGTCGACAGTGAAAACGGACATCGCGGCAGTCAGTGTAAGGAGCCTCGCTTCTGAAACATCTGCTCACGCTCATGAAATCTTGGAACGTTCGAGATGTTTGTTCGAGGTTCAAACGTTAGAAGAGCGAAAAGTGTGCATCTGCTATAAATATTACGCGACCCTTCCGAGGACGACTTTTATACCGTACTGGAGCGGTGCACGTTTTGACGTGGCTGCTTTGAGAGACCAAACGATAGTGCCGAAAACGAGTAATTTACTACGCGTTCCATATTATTATTGTTAATCTCAATTGATGCATCAAAGTTTTGAAAATGATGAATAATTTTTACACGAGTGTAAATAACCCTAAACATGCGAAAAACTTGCTCCCTTAAAAGATGATAAAAACTGCATACAAAGCCTTCGTATGTGTAAACCTATAGTGGCCACTACGTCAGTTATGATGGTCAGTACTCCCCGGCCATGAGATCTCGCAAAGATCACCCTTTCAAAGTGCTACGGAGGTGACAACGCAAGCTAGCAAATAGTTACCTTTCTTTCTTTCTTCTTTTCGGTCAACCTAGAGCCTCCTTCAGCGCCAGCGACGTCTCCCTATTAACTGCAGCGCGGCCACTATGACTCTCCCTCGATCAAAACGGCCTTAGGGGTCGTGACTCGTCGTTAGGCGGATTAATTTCGCGGATGCTAATCCAATTCGATGCAGACACTCTCTCGGGCGAGCGACAGCCGAGCATGAGATCAGCGCTGTTGGGCTGGCCTGTGCATAAATTTGGGGAGGCGCGAAAATGCGCGCGAATTCCGCTGCCGTCCGAGTATGCTCAGTGCCGCAACGCGAACGCATTCCGGAAACGGCTGGCGGGCCGTTTATGACTCGGCAGAGACGACGTGCGAGCGCGCCGCAGTTGAGACGCCATTATTCATCACCTTGTGATGCGAGGATTGCCCCAGATGAGCTATGTTGTACTTTTTGCACTTTCAGAAGCCGTTCGAATCGCTAAAAAAGACTGCAAAACAAAAGAGAAAAATATACAGGTGAAAACAAACAAAAAAGGAAAAGCCAAGCAACAAAACACAAAACATAAAACGCACATGAATTAGGCTATTTAAACTTACAATTACAGCGGGTTGGTAGGTTGTGGCGTCTTCAATTTTCTTTTGTCAGTACTTTTATGCCCGATCTTTTTCCATGACGCCATCTAGTCAGCAAGTCTAATAACACGTCTCTTTTGCATTCTGCGCTGAGCCGTAAACTTATTCTACAGAATTGATTGATATGTGGGGTTTAACGTCCCAAAACAACCATATAATTATGAAAGACGCCGTAGTGGAGGGCTCCAGAAATTTCGACCCCCTGGGGTTCCTTAACGTGCACCGAAATATGAATACACGTCCCCACACCATTTCTGCCTCCATCGGAAATATTCTACACAATTACCGAATATACATTTGCTTATTTCGAGTGGCGATAAAATTATCTCACTAACTTAGAACTGCTTGACCACAGAATAAAAAAAACATGACCCAAAAATTGGCTGCATCAGCATGCAAGAAATGCGTGCCACCCGCCAAGCATTCCACAAGTCGACACAGTATTTCAGTAGAACGCGTCATTACGAGCCTCGAGTTGCTGTTTGACTACTTCCAGTGTACAATGAACGCTTAGCCGCATGCAGTGCTTTCACCCGAATACTCCTATAAACCTTCTAAACTACGTGTGAAGATTTAGCTCATTAAATTTGGCACGCCAGTGGTATTAAACACGATGGTATGGCTTCACGCCTGTAGCATCGATCCAATCATTGTTACACGTCTATTTATTTTAGTCCAATACAATCAGTACGTGCCCCTTCGAACACGCTAAGGAGTTCACTAGGTACACGAGCGTGCCTGGAGATGCACCTCTCACAAAATTGCTTTCGTACAAGCTCCACAGAACGATGTTTTAAGTCGTCTAGATGGACAGCCCAACATGTGGGAAATGAGCGGCAGTAAAGTCAGGCCGGCTTTACCGCGTGGCAGACAGGCTTTTGAGACTGACTTCTCCGCAATAAGGGGCTTTGTGAGGAGAATCCCACATCACTGATTCATATCGTATTATATTGAGGGTGTAAGTGGTCATAATATCAATTGTATGAACACTCCAATGATTGATTTGTGGGGTTTAACGTCCCAAAACCACTATTTGATTATGAGAGACGCCGTAGTGGAGGGCTCCGGAAATTTCGACCACCTGGGGTTCTTTAACGTGCACCCAAATCTGAGCACACGGGCCTACAACAATTCCGCCTCCATCGGAAATGTAGCCGCCACAGCCGGGATTTCATCCCGCGACCTGCGGGTCAACAGCCGAGTACTTTAGCCACTAGACCACCGTGGCGGGGCTATGAACAATCGAAGCTTATATCGGCCGTCGCCGTCATGTTCCATATAACGCCCTAACCAATAACATTGTCTCGCGCGTTGTATGTTCCATATGCGAAAGAAAGCACGAGAGCGCTATTGACTATATGCTGCTGAAGCAGATATGAAATGAACCGGCCATCTCTGTCGTGAAAAAGGCGCATAAAAAAAAAAAGGACGGAGTGGGAGCTGGGCGCGTCTGGCAGAAAACGTGTACTTTGACCGAGCCGGCGTGGCTAGCCAAACCCGTATCTCTATAGAGAGGATCAGCAGATCTCTCATAGCTTTGTACGTGCTATAGTCTCATCTCTGCGTTCAAATCGCAGACAGCACGAAGGTCATTTCGCTCGATGCAGCTACTGCGTTTTTTTAAAGGGGCAAGCAGATAGCCTTACTTTTTATAACATTCCAATTTGTTACTATCGCATTCATTCCATCACCCTGACGGCAAAACTAGGTTTTTTTTTAAGTTTAATGCCTGATTACAAGTTAGCGACATAGGACTTCGATTGTTTCACTTGTAAGCCATGCGCACGGTTGATTGAAAGAGAGAGGAGACGTGCGTGTGGTGCATGTGCCAAAATGAGGGCCGCCTCGCGGCACATGCAAAGCTGCAGGAATCCCGTGCTATGCACAACGAGTGACAAGCTGCATTGGAGTAGACAGATAGATATGGATGGCCCTGCGACAAATGTCGCGTGATTGTAGTGGAACTACTGCCTATAACTACACCGCATAGGCCACTATAGCCATATACAACCTATGTACTACCCGTAACATTTGAGTTGCAGTTTACGGCACTACGCACCGCAGTTCAGTGAACGTGGACATTATTTACAAGTATAGTTCAAGCAGTAAGCAGAGGAAATGTGCGCAAAAGTTATCTAAAGCACTCATAGGCAGTACAGCAATATAGAAGCTTTATTTATAAGTATAACGATGAAGATTTTGGCAACGTGCTACCGACAGCAATCATTTGAGATACCTAAACGTTTTCTGGGTATGTCAAGAAACACATAGTAGTGATATCTTAACACTACGCAAGTTTACTACTCAACGAGCTGTTCTTGTGTCTTATGGGCACATGACGCTTTGTCGTTTTTAGTTCAGTGTTGGCTAAAGCTTTTGCCGGCTGTTGTTAATGACACAACTTCAGCAATTTTTTATTAAGCAAAAGATCTTAGTAAACCGCATTAAAGAAGATAGGGCTCGAAACAGCAATGGTACTCATTAACAGCTACATATGTGCAGCTTTGTTGTTTTTTCACGTCTGACGTATCGCCGCGGTGGTCTAGTGGCTAAGGTACTCGGCTGCTGACCCGCAGGGCACGGGTTCAAGTCCCGGCTGCAGCGGCTGCATTTCCGATGGAGGCGGAAATGTTGTAGGCCCGTGTGCTCAGCTTTGGGTGCACGTTAAAGAAACCCAGGTGGTCAAAATTTCCGGAGCCCTCCACTACGGCGTCTCTCATAATCTTATGGTGGTTTTGGGACGTTAAACCCCACATATCAATCAATCACGTCTGACGTGCCCGTGTGTAACACTATTGCATATATGCGCACGTCTTGCGTGTATATGTGTGGTGAATTGCGTGCACGGTGCTGGGAGAGAATTTGCGCATCTGAGGTCATAAATTAAAGGCGGTTGACACGAAGGAGAAATCACGAAGAACACAACAGATGAAATGCGACAAGAAGCTTACCGAAGGCAGCCTTGCCGGTGGGCGCGTAGGTGAGCATGTACCCTTGCAGCTTGACATGCTTGTTGGGGTTCGGTCGCGGTGGCTTCCAGCGTAGCGTGAACGAGTGCTCGGCAATGGCGTCGATGGTCACCTCGCGTGGTGGACCCAGCGGCCACTGCTGTTCGGTCGTTTCCTCTGCACGCGAGAATAAAAGTGAAGATGTGAGTGCACGCCTCCGTCAAATGAGAAATAAAGATAATCCAAGGAAGTATAGCACGTAACGTTCATAGAACGAAATGTGAACACTGCGGAGGAATCCTTGAGACAATGGACAGGTATTTTTTTAAGCGTAAAGGCACACATTAAACAGAACTATACGCATTAGCTAGTTGACGTGACCGCAGCTTTTTGCGACGAAGTCAGAGTTAGTCAGTAGCACATCAAGATTATTAGCACGAAAAGAACATGGCTAGAAAAAAATCAATATTTTCACCCTCTTACAAAAAATGATACTCAGCAGAACACTCTCCTTGCTGCAAACACAAGCGCTGATTGCATGCCAACGCTTTCATTCAGGAATAATATTAATAATAATAATATCAATAACAATAATAATAATAATAATAATAATAATAATAATAATAATAATAATAATAATAATAATAATAATAAAAGCACCAGTACTAGTAGTAGTAGTAGTAGTATGTGGTTTGTAGACACAGAAAACGCTGGACACAGAAGAAATATGGAGGGAACAAGCTCACACCTGCCACATATAAGGGCACAACGCCTGCCTGCACAACGGTATGTGAGTAAGCATACGTAGGCACGCACGATGCATCTCGATTTGTGTTTTACGCTCATACAACAGATGCAAGCAGCAGAAGCTACTGCAATTTTATTGCGACAGCAATTATATTACACACTTGAGGTGAATTTTATTGCGATAACAAATATATGGATGCTCTAGGTGCATTTTTGCCGACACCGTCATGTAAATAGCACATGTGCTTTCATCAGATACGATACAAATGCCTACTTGATAGCATCACCCCGCGCGTCGTATGCTCTGTGTGTGAAAGCGTCCGAAGGCTGCCGACGGGTGCGGCTCGAGCAGGGATGAAACACGTGGGTAGGTCTTCTCTCATAAAGGAGCTTAACAGGGTGCCAGTGGCGGGGTCTGCGTCGCACGGGCATAAACGAAATAAAATTGACCGAAAAGGCGTTGTTGTGCGCGCACCATGGTGTCAGAGATCAGCATACGGTTCATACCTTTGTAAGTGCTGTGTTTTCACCGCTGTCATGAATGTGCATATTCAAATGAACTTCGTTGAGTAATCAGAAGGCAAGTAAATTCACGCTAAGTGAAGACGTCGCCAGACGGTGCTCATTTGAAACCACACCCGTGGTCTCCCCTCTCACCCAAATTGTACCACAGAACACACCAAGTTGCTTCTTGCGCGGGTCTCACGGTCCCGGCGCCTGGCAAAGTTCAGAGTAAAACAACATCCGCGCAGGCGTGGCAGGAAAGAAGGCTCCTCTCCTACAATTGACTCCGAAGAAATCTCGGGAAGGGCAGCGAAATTTCTAAGAAGCTGACATGGAGCTCTAGGCAGTCGAACATCGGCTTCACTGCGGTGTCCGGTGTCAAGTTGATCCCCCTGCTACGCCCCGAGGGTTCCAGCGAGTGGCGAGTGCAACCCCGGATTCCAACAGCCACGAACGAAAGTAGACTCGGACTTTATTGTTAGTTGCATACAGCAAAATTAGGCTCTGATTTGGATTCCTAATTAGCGAGTCATCCGTTAGAGGTGCTACGCTGGAGACAGTACTTTATGTGTCAATTTCATTTTTATGTTGGTAAGCAAGTAGCTAGATGAAGTGAAATCTGTATACGTGCACTTTGTGTTGAAGCTAGAGACAGCATGTTGAAGCGGTCGCATTCTCTTACGCAAATGTTTTCTAGAGTTACGTCAGATCATATCTTAAAAAGAGTTAGCTGCTAGCCCTAGTTAGGCAAATATTTCAATATGACATTCCTTGCCTCACCTTTTCGATGAAACTATGACTTTTTGCCGCATTGTCCATTTCGCGGCCGCTTAGTGAACCAGCGCTGAGTAGCGGTGTTTCCCAATCATTGTGGCATACATGCACGCGCCAAGGGTTTTCTGTTAGCAGAGTTACTGTTCGCCGAGTTACGAATGACGTAGTTGTATACACCCTCACTCTAAAAACAAAATAACATCGTAGAGATAACTATTAGATAACTTTCACAGTCAGAAAGTGTTCTTTTGTATTAATAAATTATTGCGTTCATTTGATAAGTGTGAGCGGGATTCCGCCAGTAATTCGTGCACAATCTTTAGAAGACATCTCGTTTAGTGCAATTCTGCCTTTCTTTTTTGTGTTTGAGCGAGCATGGCAGGATCGGGCAGTGAAATTTTAAAAATAAAAATATAACAGTGCATTTATAAACGTGACACGTTCAGCTACGGGCACCCCGAACTTGCATGCACGCAAGGATTGATTGATTGATTGATTTGTGGGGTTTAACGTCCCAAAACCACCATTTGATTATGAGAGACGCCGTAGTGGAGGACTCCGGAAATTTTGACCACCTGGGGTTCTTTAACGTGCACCCTGCACGCAAGGAACATAATTGTCAAGACCTACAGCGCTATTGCAAGATTATCCTGAAAACAAAAGTACAAGATCTTTAATGCGACAATATGTTCACTGTAGAGTTCCTAAACAGGAAAATAAGGGTATTTGTTTTAGCTAAATTATATTATAAAAGACGGAGACAAGCATTAATATATATATCCAAAAACACGGATATGATTGCACTTCAAGAAGAGCGGGACTAGAAACCTAGCACTGTTCTTTGCCTTCATCGCTTAACAGATACCCACCTATCTTGAATAGTGAGTAGGCACGTATATTATACGCAGCGAACGCATTAACGGTCCATTAGGTGTACTTATACTCCGCACAGGCACAAGGCGGCCATAACAACGAGCTACCAGCAGCTCCGTTAAAGTAAAGGTGAGTGTATGTGAGCTAACACTAGGGCACAGGCACAATATTCACTATGTATATGCTCCCACACTGATGGGTGCATTATATTGACCCCAGGGCTTGCATATAATTCAGAGCTATATTTTAGGTCGTGTCTGATTTATTATTCACCAAACAGTATTGATCAGTTTTGGCAATGCCGTAGACTTAGCGCCGTCTACACCACTCACAAAGAACAATTCGAGTGACTGCAATAGAATCGTGAAGCCACACCGGCCTAATAATCGTCACTATAGGCGTCGCCCAACTGGATCATAGTGTCGGGATTAATATACACAACGACATATGTTTTGAAGCCATTGGAAGTCCTCTTGGTGAGAAACGTCTGGTGTATACGATGATGTAGGTGGATGGTTAGAGAGAAACGTCAAATTGGAATCGGCTGATATCCATAAAAAAATCTTTCGTTGGAGCGTGTTCTGAAAGGGCAGCGCTCAGAAACCATGCGCGCATATGCGCATGATCTAGTGGCGTAGTCAGAATTATTACAGCGAAAGCTGTTATGAGATCACATCTTGAGTGATCACCAATGACACAGCGGGGCTCAAACCTAGGTCCGCTGGGTGCCCGCCAAGTATCCTACCACTGAGCTATGCCGGTGCTTGTGGCGTTTATGCAAACTTGACTCAGGCAGGCTTGATATCGGAAAAGCAATCGCGTTAATACGACTTATAAAGCATTTTAAAACAGCAAAAAAAAAAACAGCCAGTCGTCACACAATGCGAATAGCGTAACGAGTGGGCCGTCCGATGATCCAACGCATGAGAAAAGCTTGTTCTTGTTCTCCTATTAACTGTGGCGCATCCCCCTTCAGAAAAACTTTGTCATCTTTGTCAGCCACAGCACGAACAATCGGCACAAAATTCCTTGCAAGTGTTTAGCGGATACCACGTTTCTCAGATGAATGACAAAAAATAGCATAGCGAATGCCAGCCTAATACCCGAAAAATTTATTATTAATGCCCTAGTGGGTATCAAGCAAGTGGGCTTGTAGTAGTTACTCAATGAGTGTTTCGAAAAGGCTCTGAAAAACCGCTCTTCTACTTTTCGCTGTGACGGTGCTGCGCCTACCGCGCAGGCCTCGCGTTTTTTTTTTCGTTTTTTTTTTTTTGCCGCGGCGGGAGGTTTAACGAGTCTTTGCGCATGTTCGTATGTGCCTTCGTATGCGCGTGTGTATATGCACATATGCAAAAAAGAAAATCTTCGTTCTTGGGCTACGCCAGTCATAGGGTCTGTGAGAACAATGTATTAGGTAGCTTGCGTAATATTCAGAAGCTGGTACGACCTTTTTGTGGGAAGTTTTGTGAAGAATATTGCCACTGCTGTGGTGACCGCACTTCAATGCGTAGCATTGGTCGTGTGAGAATTGACGCTCACAGCCCTAAAGTGACGTTCGCGTATAGCGTTCAATATTCACAAATAATTGTTGAGCACGACATTCGAAAATGAACTTAACAGCATTACAATTAGCACTTAAAACAAATGTGTATGCATAATACGCATTGTACGTTGTAAGAAGGTAAATAACAGGTGTAGTGAGGCTTTTTACGAAAACTTAAGTACTCGAAAGCAGGCGCATTTGTAGCGTTATGGCAGAGTGTCAATGACAGCGCATAATCAAACGTACTTGATCAAGAACATGAGCTCGTTAAGAAGCCATACCAGCACTTGGCCTTTGAAGTCATCTATTATAACGGCTCTCGATAGCGAAACGGCTAATTTCTGTTCACGGTGTGAAACGGAATGAAAATTAAAGAAAAAATTTAAACACTGAGATGTAGCGAACAAATATTTCGGAGAATCTGCTAAGTGACCCGCTGCGTAGAATCTTAGTTTTTTGTTTGTTGGAGAAAAGGCACTGCAACTTCACAGGTTCGCCACACCATAGCTCGCCAGTGATGAATGAGCTTTTTGATCATCTCAGCTTTGGCACAGCCGTATTGAATGCGAGCCGAAATTTGCTATTTTTACAGCGGCGCCATCAGCTAACGCGAACGAGAACTTGGCGCAAACGTGGTCGTTCTGGAAAAAAAATACGAGAGAAAGCTTATTATCAGAAATGCCATGTGGTACTGCGCACTTTTACCAGCTATTTCACTTAAGAAGACG